ATGGCTTGTGGCAAACTGCAAACGGGACTTCTTATGGTTTTCTGTTAACAATGGCTTTCTTCTTGCCACTCTTCCATAAAGGCCAACTTTGTGCAGTGCACGACTAATAGTTGTCCTATGGACAGATTCCCCCACCTGAGCTGTAGATCACTGCAGCTCGTCCACAGTCACCATGGACCTCTTGGCTGCATTTCTGATCAGTGCTCTCCTTGTTCGGCCTGTGAGTTTAGGTGGACAGCCTTGTCTTGGTAGGTTTACAGTTGTGCCATACTCCTTCCATTTCTGAATGATCGCTTGAACAGTGCTCCGTGGGATGTTCAAGGCTTGGGAAATCTTTTTGCAGCCTAAGCCTGCTTTAAATTTCTCAGTAACTTTATCCCTGACCTGTCTGGTGTGTTCTTTGGACTTCATGGTGTTGTTGCTCCCAATATTCTCTTAGACAACCTCTGAGGCCGTCACAGAGCAGCTGTATTTGTACTGACATTAGATTACACACAGGTGCACTCTATAAAATTGGAAAAAATGTTTGGAATCATGTATGGTTTTCGTTCCACTTCTCACGTGTACACCACTTTGTGTTGGTCTTTCACGTGGAATTCCAATAAAATTCATGTTTGTGGCTGTAATGTGACAAAATGTGGGAAAGTTCAAGGGAGCTGAATTCTCTTGCAAGCTACTGTATATTGCCCATGAGTACTGAAGTAAATAAATCACTAAATCGTGTGATAACGTTTTTGTTTTTTGTTTTGTTTTTTTTTTGGTCCATTTAATGGCATATTTGTTTTGAGTCAAATAGTTTTTTAAAATTATGGCAGTTTTGGTTCTCAATACCTGTCAGGACTACTGATGCAGTTTGTCATATTTTGCACAGCAATAGCACATCCATTCTGAACATTAATACATTTCCATGTCGTTTAACTTTCTCATAGCTCTACATCACATGTCGCCTGAAAGCAACGCCAGTCTCTGCACCCGTCGACTCGGAGCACAAAGCCTGCTCATTCCTGTCTGAAGCTAAGAGGTCAGTTTACACAAAGATTGCTCTACTGTACAGGTGTTTGCCTTCAGATTCGTTGCCATGGCTCTAATGCTAATGCAAAGCTTTGCTGCGCTTCCTCCTAACAATGCATTTTGGGCTCTGGACAGATGGGTGGCATCAGGTGGAGACAATAAGGTGTGTAGCTGCTGTGAGACCAGCTGTGGCACGCAGAGATGGAAAAGAAGCCTTGCAGCAAATGATGGTACAGTTTGCAGAAGCGACGCTACATGACAACCTGGGACAGGTCCTGAACATGTGATGCCGGCGCAGTGGGGGGGAAATTATGCTATTCTAACCACCTTCATTATGAAAAGCATTTGCATATGCAGAATCTGTTGATTTAATTTTTGCAAACATTATTTTAAAAAGGTGTTTTTTGTTAAGAGGCTGTGACTAGCTGATACGAGACTGTCTAAAATGCCATAAAAGTAGCAAACATGCATATTTTAGAAATACTTTTTTTTTTTGTATTTAGTTTAAATGCATTTATTTGGAGTATAATGCAATCAGCCACAAACCTACACAAGCAGAGGTTCCACCCGTGTTTAGACGAGCTTGCTTGCACTCATTTGGCACACATGCCATTTATGTGGTGGATTGATTTTGAGTTAATCCCTTTAATTGTCCAACCAATCAGTCGTGTCGGGAATGGTTTACTCAGCTGGCTAAATGCACTAAGAAGATTGTTGTTTCCCTTCCAGCCCATATTGGATTTGCTTATTTTTATGCAGCTCTGCGGTGGGAGGGGACGGCAGCTCTTGGCCCCATCCTGCTGGAGAACGTTCTGGAAGAGGGGTCGACTGAGCCGCTTGAGCTTCCTCCAGAACCAGTTTCTCTGCAGCAGACGCAAGAAGTCACTCGAGCTGGTTAGACACCCACAAAACAACTCTAGGGGGTTTTAAAAAAACACTCTCTGACTTGACTTTGTTCCCACTCCCTTGAGTTTTCCCTCAACTGCTAATAGAAGTGATAATATTTGTCTTCTGTCCTCATCCTCCCTTTTCAGCCTTGTTTTCAGCAGTAGCCCTGCTGTGTGGAGTCTGGATGGCGCTTGCTGTGGTGTTAGTTTTCACCAGCACTGTGATTTGCAGCAGACTTCGCAAACCCACCGGATACTCTGTTTGCACCTGATTTAAGAAAATAAAGCATTCATACCCATGCCTCGATCTTTGTTTTCCTCCCTTTGAGTATAGATCAAGGACCAGAGGTCTATTTAACCAAAGTTCATTATGCAATGAATATAAATTCCAAATTCGAACATGGGGGGTAATCAAGGTTCTCCACAGCTAAACCTTTTCTGCTTTCACTTCTGCTTGGTGGCATCCACAGTGATGCTTGCATGCTTAGGTACTCTTGGGGTTAAGGGGCTGTGCTGGAGTGGCCAGCCTTGCGAGAAAATGACTTGGCCATAAAATGTACACTGTTAACACAACATGTTTTATATTGCTCTATCAATCAGTATCCTTTAATACCAGGCAGGGTCTTACATTGAGCCTGCTTCATGGTGTGAACACATTACTGTATATGATTCAGAGTTTTCATATGGTGCATTTCATTGGATTTATTGTAAATCCAATATAATTTTGAACAAACTAGAACGTAAAAACGCACCAAAGGAAAAGTAGTCGAACTATAAAATGAGCCTGGGTGCAGACTCTTTTTGCTAAATTCACGCATGGATGATTTGGTTGGTTCATTTTTTTTCCTTCCAAGCTTGTCCAGCCGCTGCCCTGTTCTCTGGGAGCTAATTTAATACATGCCGTTACTACCAAGCTGCCATCCAATTCACTTGAGCTGCTTGAGATTTTTCCATCTTTGTAATAATCCACATCTAAAACAAAGATAACTCCGGAGGGGGAAAAAATGGTAAGAGTAGCTGCACTGACAACACACTGCGAGGTAAAATAAAAAGTACCATTCCAGGAACAATAGTCATATTTTCAGACTCGGGCCATTTTCATGTTTTTTGTTTTGTGTGTGTGTGTGTGTGTCCCCTTTAATTCACCCCCCTCCAGCTTTCTGCCAGTGGTGGAGTATTCATGAAATGGGGCTCATCATGAACTGTTGCTCACAAGCCCGGGAAGACGAATAGACATAATTAAAAAGCCCATAAAGGCGAGAGCAGGGGCTTTTATTACAGTAATATGTGAAGGCCTTGGTTTAATGGGGTGTTTGTTCCTATGTGCAGGGCTGACGGCTGTGCTAGTTTACTGCCAGAGCGATGCTGACCGCCCCCACCCTCCCCATCTCCAGCACACCAGAGGCTAATAAAAAGCCATACCTAACGATGCACCAGCAGGACGCATGACAGCGACAAGCATGCACACTCTGAGGCACGGTGATGGACACTAACACACTAGACACGAACCTCTTTCTGTAAAAAGCTAGAGAACAAAGAGGCGAGAACAGGAAACCTGTGGCCACATGTTCCAACAGAATGGCTTACTTTTGCAGTCTGAGGACGCACAATTGGCGTTGCATTCACTGGTAAACCTATTTGCCTTTTTCATAATGGAAATAGCAACTAATACTTTTGCCCATTTGGAGGGAATGTGAAAAGTGAGATTGACATTTTCTTAGCAGCTCGCATCCAGAAGACACATTAGCTTTATTTTAATATTCACTCTACTTTTTAGTCTCTGCCAGCGTGAGAGAAAAATACTCTTCTTTAACTCAAAAATGCTGACTGCATTCTGTTGTTTAGTCCATTTAGAGCTAGACTAAACTTAAATCACGGGTGCTGAAATAAGCTAAAACACTTTGTAGAGTTGGGTTTGTCTCTACTTAAAGTCTCAGGTACAGGCATAGATTTTGGATGTATGTGAAATGTAATCTGAGCCTACATATTCACTGTTAAATCTAAACTTTTATTCTTAAATGCGTTCATTTTGGACTTTGATAACAGAATTGTGTTTTTAAAGAATTTACTTCTCTTCTACTCTTTCTTTTTTTTAAAGCAACACTGTGTGCTAAAAGGTTTTTAGGACTGCAGACACAACAGATTTGCATCTGGAATTTCTATTGAGGCTTACTGGTGTGATACATGTGGAATGTAGCTTGGCCTCAAAAAGCAAGGCATTGCAATCACCAGCCACCTTATTAGTCAGAGAGTGCAAATCAGAATTGCCTTAATTCTTTTGTGGTATAGACTGAGCAAGGTGATGGAAACATTTTTCAGAGATTTGGGTCACATCAACAAGATTGCATCACACAGCTGCTTCAGATTGGTTGGCTTCATATCGATGATGAGAATCTCCCGTTCCACCACAGCCCAGAGGTTCTCTGTTGGATTGAGATCTGGTGACTGTGGAGGCCAGTTAAGTACAGCCAACTCATTGTCATGAAACCAGTTTGAGATGTGACCTTTGTGACACGGTGTGTTAGTCTGTTGCTATCATTAGATGGGCACTCTGTGGACATGGACATGGTCAGCAACAGTTCTCAGGTAGGCTGTGGTGATTAAATGTATCCCCCACACCATTATACCACCACCAGCCTGATCGATTTATACGAGGCAGGACGGATTCAGAGTGTTTATGCCAAATTCTGTCTCTACCAGAAGCAGAACTCCAGACACATCAGACCAGGAAATTATTTCTTTCCTCTTTCTTCCCCAATTTGATGTTCAGTTCAACCTTAGAAGATCGCCTTGACTTGTCTACATACCCAAATGCATTGAGCTGGTGCCGTGTGATTGGCTGATCACATATTAATGGTTAGTTAGTGCCTAACGTGTGTGTGAACCAGTGTGTGCAGCTTCACAGACGCTGGATTGTGATTTTAATGTTACCTTTGTACTATTTTTAATTGAATCTAAAGTTTAAATAAAGTTAAAGTCAACACACCATGGCAACTTTTTTGGAAACGGGACCGCAGAGTAACAGGTGGAGCTGAGCCTCCCGTTCGCAGGTGGCAAATAAAACCAAACCCCAGCTACGTCCACGCTTCTAATATAAACTGAAGTCATTTGATGCTTTATTTCATTCTGGTAAATCGGCACATCTACCACGTTTCATTTAGCCGGCATAGGGCTCTTTTCTCCATTACAATCTAAATTCCACATGCAGGCTGAAAAGACAAGTGTGTTTTTTACAAACTCACCCCAAAAAAACAAGCCTGCAGCTTTTGGAGGAGTCAACAGAGTGTAAAACGTGTTAATGTGTTGTTATGGCCACATCATCATCATCATCATACTGAAGATGGTTGCCCACCCACAGATGTCTAACGGTTATAGAGGCACGGACTCAAGTTGACAAGCACAATGGTTGAGAGTCCTGAATCAGCCGTTTTCCCCAACAGGATGTGTGACCCTAGGGGCACAAGTGCACACACACCCACTCACACACACACACACACTCAGAGCACACGGCCACTTTTACTCTCATGTACACACGCATACACGCGGGCCATCAAAAGTAATGGTGTGTGTCCAGTGGCAGGCAGGGAGAGTCCTCTCATGTCTGGCAGCCATAACGATATTATTGCTGTAGATGGAGCGTGCTGGGGAATATTGTTCCACACCATTGGTATGCTGCAGACGTCCTCTCATAGCACACATTGGTGGTGATGACAGAAGTTGGTATTAACACCAGACCTGTTGGTTGATGTTTTTGACAAGAAACCACAGCGTGCTGATTCCTCCTTGAGACAAGAAAACTGCTGTTATTTTCAACTGGAGCTGTGATGGTGTTGTTGTTTTTTTTTCATTTAACAAAGACAGACACAGGGGACCATTATCAAAGAGATTGTGATGTGTTATTACACTGAGATTTTGAAATTCAAGGCAGACGACTCTATCATTTACTAGATCCTATCTAACCTAAAATATTCGCTCCTTTTTTTGAATGCAGATAAATATCAAAGGCTGTTTAATTTAATCCATGAATACTCATTGTGTTATTATATTCCTCTCATACAGATTGCACCATTTACAGCCAGCCATGGTGTGGAGAGCGTGCGTGCACGCAAACATGCACGCCACCTCTGTCCAGACCCATGATTAACCCTCTTAATTAAGAGTGAAAAAAACTTCCAAACGAAGGAAATGGATTTAATTAGCCTGATCTTAGCCCGGGAACGTGTGCGCACCCTAAGACACACATACACAAGTACCGGCATGCACACACACAAAACAATTAAGCCTCTTTTATCCAGGCTAATGGCTTCAGTGACTCAGAGCCTTTCTTATTAAGACTATCAATAATATGCTGATTACATGCATCCACCGGACTCCTTTATCGGGGCACAAAGGGACAAGTGTGCGTCTCTGAGGTTTCAGGGGTGTGGCGGTCTGTCTGGGCGACCTTATCTGCTGAAATAGACATTTGGATTGTTTGGCTGGAGAAGCAAAAAGGATTTTCGGTTTGCAGTGTCTTTATTTTCTGCCGTTTATCTTATCAAAGAGGCCACGTGTGTCTTTCACACTGAGGAAATGCCTATGAAGTTAGCTGAGGGCATTATGGAGGCAAGATAATAGACCGAGAAGTGATGGTGGCTGGAGGGGTGTAGATCTGTCTACTTGTCAGACTGCATGCCACCAGCCCCTGCTTCCTTTCAGTCCAATAAGTTCCTGCCTGCCTGTAAACCTGCTGGTCTGTCATTGTCTGCAGTTTGTCCATTTTCTGATTTTATCCAAATCTTGTACACACACACACACACACATATATATGTCTATATATATA